CCCCCCCCCCCACAGTGATTATCAGACTTCTCAGGCTGTGTGCTGAAGAACCTGCAAGAATTAAAACAGGAACCACCATCAAAGGTGCTTATCTCCTTTCCACCAGAAGCATAGAGGAAGCACAGAAATCCCAGGGGCTGGTGATGCCAGACATGTCTGGACAAGCATGGGCACTCACAGGTGGGCTAGTCAGCCTCTGGAGGTTTCCTGGCAAAGCTGTTATTAGCCTGGGTTCCACTGGAAAGGAGGCTTAGAGGATCAGTCCTTCTTTCACTGTCTAGTAACGGAGCCCAAGAGCCCTTTCAAGCATGTTTACTCTGGCAGAGAGCGGGCCACCTCTGACAGAGATGAATGGGCAGCATGCCTGCTGCGGTTAGAGAGCCTGGGCGTCCCCACAGAGAAACTGGGGCAGGCCAGTGGGTCAGGGAAGCCTGCGACTGCTGGTGGCCTGCCCAGGGATGAAGTCACTGATCGAGTCCTTCATTCAGCCAATCAGTCATTTGCTCAAGAATGTGTTCCAGGGGCTGGAGATGCAGCAGTGAGCAGGAAAGACAAGGCCCCTGACCTCATGGAGTGTGCGTTCAATTAGAGGAGACAGATCACAAGATGAGCAGGCCTGTTGTAGGTTAGATGGTGGTGAGTTCAGTGGAGAAAGATGAGGTGCGGAGGGCAAGCAGGAGTGATGGGGGGGGGCAAAGGTTAGTGATACTTGAGTAAAGGAGATGAAAGGGTGAATTAAACATGTACCTGGGCAGAGAGTTTTGGAAGCAGAGGCAGGAGTGCGCATGTTGGAGGAGCAGCTAGGAGCCAGTGTGGCGGGAGCAGAGTCTGTGAGGGGAGAGAGGAGGAAACAGGTCAGAGAAGTAATGGGTCGGAAATCAGTAGGGCCTCGTGATCACAGTGATGGCTCTGGCTGTTCCTCGGAGTGAGGTGTGTCATTGACAGGTTTTGGACAGAGGAGTGGCGGAGCCTGATTCAGGTTCTAACAGGATCCCTTTGGCTGCTGTGTTGAGAATAGGTAAAAGAATGCAAGGATGAAACAGGGAGAGCAGTTAGGAGCTTATTACACAATTATACAGGTAAGAGATGATGGCTTGGCCCAGGATGGTATTGGTGATGAGAAGTAATTGAATTCTTGATGTATTTTGAAGGTAAAGCCAGTAGTATTTCCCTGTTGGGATGGAAGAAAGGTGTAAGAGAATGAGAGATGTCAAGGTTATTCCAAGGTGGTTTTTTTAATTTATTTTTTTAAATTTATCTTTATTGTTGAATGTATTACAGGTGTCCCATTTTTCTCCCCCAGTTGATCCCTTCCACCTCGCTCCCACCTCCTTCCCANTTTTTTTTTAATTTATCTTTATTGTTGAAAGTATTACAGGTGTCCCATTTTTCTCCCCCAGTTGATCCCTTCCACCTCGCTCCCACCTCCTTCCCAGGCCTTCACCCCATCATTGTCTGTGTCCATGGGTTATGCATATATGCATATAACTTCTTTGGTTAATCTCTTCCCACCCTCCACCCCCCTTCCCTCTTTCCTCTGAAATATGATCGTCTGTTACATGGGTCAGTGTCTCTGGGTCTGTTTAGTTCATCAGATTCTTTTGTTTATTAGCTTCTTGTTAAAGAAGATCCTTCAACATTTCCTGTAGTGCTGGTTTGGTGGTGATGAGCTCCTTTAGCTTTTCCTTGTCTGAGAAGCTCTTTATCTGAC